AAAGGTTAAAGGAAAGAGTGGTTGAATTAAGTAGAAAAATGTGAGAGGTAAGTAAATAGGTAGATGAATGAAAGTAAATGGGATGTAAAAAGGGAGGTAGATAAAAGGTTTAAAGAAAAAGGAAAGAAAAAAATAGGTGTAAGTAAATATATTGTGTAATGGTTAGTAAAAGAGGAAAAAAAGAAGTGAAAAGTAATGTGAAAGTTTAAGGTTTGTGAAAAAAGGTCTAGGGTTTAGGGTTTAGGACTATATATTACGACCCGGATGAACGTTCATCCCAGGGTCCTATATATATTACGACCCGGATGAACGTTCATCCCAGGGTCCTTTAGGGTCCTTGGGCCGGCTTATTTTAGGTGTTCACGACCCCAATATCATTTATCCAGGGTCCTTCGTGCCCAAATTAGCTTATTTTGGTTGATTTTTTAATCTAGGCTCGGCGTCTGAGGTTCTCTAATAACTGATAGCGACTAAACCCTAAAGCTGATATTTTTGTAGTACCGTACAAATTATTTAAAATATGTTGATATCAAACTATTCTTATTGGTCCTCTACAATATTTTACTCGTCATATCTAATCATTTTTAATGGCGTGTAAGACGCTGTATTTACATGTAAGGCGGCTGCCCCGAGAAGCGAGTTTCGACACACCAGGCGCATCTTCGTCGGCGGAGCGAGCGCGCGTAGGTACCGATCATCACGCCGCGTAACCGCAGCTCGGCCGTACAAAGGCGCGCGTCCTTGGAGGCGCGCCGCATGTCAAGCGCAGAGTCGGCAAACTTAATCCCCCCCCTCTCTAAGCAATGTTGGAGGTCTATGGTACAGTATGTCTGCATAACGCTTTGCGGTGGCGACATGGTGGCCGCCAGCAGCGACCTGGTGGGGGCCAGCAGCAACATAGATGGATACATTCTACACCCGAGCAAGCGACGCGGTGAGCGGAGCTGACTGCTGTGAACTGGTAGACCTGAGGGTCGATACTGGCAGCGGCAGTCTGCCGATAGCCGCCGTTCTCGGCGGTGTTGGCCGTTCTACTGCATGTATGCAGTGCCTACAAACTACCGCAGGTCGCGTTGGCGCCTCAAAGCGTGATGGTGGTGGTACCGGCGACGTCGAATAATTTGCTACGACCACCCTTCGTATGCTTATCGTAGATGCTTTGGAGCCGTTAGCTTTGATAACTTTGCGCTCACACGGACGAGCAGCTTGCAGCGCAATCTAAATCGATCACGCTCCTTTTTCTAATATAGCATTGACACTGTTCAGGCTAGAGCCAACGGCGCCCGCCGTGCTGGCGGAACAGATGGCATCGCTGAATGCAGTTAGTGACCCCATTTGGATCTGTCGAATGAAAATATGGACTAGAAAGCATATGCTCTCGTTATCTAAAAACTGGGTGTGAGGTAAATCAATGGCACGGTCTTCTCGTGGCTAAGCTACAGTTGTGGGACGAGTAGTTGCAGCTCATTAACCGGAGAAGAGAGCTCGTATGTATGCCCACAAAATGCACAAGTTGGTAAACGAGCTACTGGTGGGTACTTTCACAAGCCACTGTGCAAATTCCTGTCTTGTCAAGAGGGCAATTTCACCTTCTATTCCTCCACGGGATGATGCGCGAGTTCGACAAACGTCGTAAAATCTCCATGCACCTGGGATCATCCTCCCGCGCAGTCGAGAGTTGCAGGAAGATCCCGGCTTACTGCCAAAATGAAGATCGTTTTTCCAATGCGCGTGGTGTATTGGAACGCCACAGAAAAAGCACGACGGATAGCGAGACCCAAAAATTAAATGATTCTCACACTCGTGTACAGGATGGGCACCAAGGCACTTCAAACAGTAGGCTGCTTGATGTGGGCATGCCTCTGGGAGGTGATAAATGAATTTTGCTGGGTTAGAAACCCAACATACCACGCAATGTGTCGATTCATCGTTCAAAATCATTTCCTGCAACAGCATGTAGACTCTTTCGTCGTTGAGGACTCTGGTGTTAGCTTCTGCACACTGTAACCGAATGCTTCGTGACGCTGGTGCGATTGGGGCCTTATTTTGATCATCTCCCATAGCTCTAGAGCAGACATCGCACAACTCGTTGACATCGTCAACCGTGCACGGAAAACCCGAACCGTCCATTGCCTCTTGTAGTCGTTGCCTCCTGCAGCGGATTTTATCTAAAAGGAATGCCCGTAGCGTACTAGGGCTTGATATTCACCCTTATTGCTCGATGACCCCACTGTCAAATGCTTCGAAAAGCGCTGGAAGTATGTTTCACGGTATATGGTGACACATTTTGCTGGCTTACCATCACGCCCCGACCGACCTGTCTCCTGCGCGTAATCGGTCAAGCTGTGGGCTAGTCCAAAATGTAGTACGGTTCGAACGTTCGGGTAATCCACACCCTGACCCAATCCACACGTCGCAACAATATATGAGCAGTTAGGGGACTTCCACAATGACAAATTATTCTTGCGCTCATCGAAAGTCATTCCACTATGATACCGGGCGACCACGTTGGACGTATGGCGCTCTAAATAGTCTGCAATTTCTTCGACCTTCGGCTTTGTCAACGCAAAGACAATGCCTTTGTCAGGATGTGCCATAGGAAGTTTCATCAATGATAGACATGCCTTCATCATATCTGTATTCGATAACAATTCCACCACTTCGTAACGTATTGACGCTCGGACTGTCGGCGTTCTCACAGTGACGAAAGGGAAGCCAAAAATTGTCATGAGGTCATTTTCCCAAGTGGAGGGAAGAGTTGCCGTCAGTAGTGTCTTCTGGACCGAAATGGACGATAACACATAGACGAATGACATGCACCTGCGGTAATCGATAGCCAAGTGAGCCTCGTCAAAAAATATTCTGCCTAGTTTGTCCTGCTCCTGTAGCGACAGTAGGAACGTCCGGAAATTTTGATGCTCCAAGTACGTTACTCGGACGAACAAAATAGACGGTAGCGCTGTGAAAGGACTCGTATCGTGTTGATACTCAGAGCACTCGATTCCCAATTGTTCTGTCTTCCGAAGCGAGTCCAATAAAAGTGCTACCAAAGGCACCACAACAATGACAACACGCGTAGAATCCGAAAATGCGGCCAAATAAAACAGCAAGGACTTCCCACCATTTGTAGGGAGTACAACGAGTAAATTAGAGACGCTCTGCAAAACCAGTGTCGTTGCAACACACTGCTCTCTTGACCGAAACGAAGCAGTCTGGTCACGAAGAAATGATCGGAGCAAAATCCGAGCTGACCCAAAGTGTTCCGGAAGTAAGCTGCTTATAGCTTCGCCAATAGTAAAAAAAGCTGAACGTTGGTACGACAACTGTTATTGGGCGTCCGTGCGGAGCAGGTTGATTGAATCTTGAAACTTGCTGCACGGGTGACGTCGGCGAACTTTTCCTCCTTGGCATTATCTCGGATTGGTCACTTGGGGCGTAACAATTGGTACTGGTCGAGTTACCAGGTCCGAGAAGGTTATGCCACTGGTGGGAACAAGAAACAAATTCGGCCATATCATCGCGCGACATAAAATACGGATCCGTGGTAGAACGGCTATACAACGTCGAAGCCGTTGCCGGTGCATGAGCGGCTTGAAAATCAAACTGTCCTGATTCGATCTTGTTGATGTAATGTTCTTCTCCATGAATGCGATCGCGACGTGTCTGTAAGTCCGAGCAGAAAGTTGGTTACCGCAACTTACAAAATTCATGTTAATTGCAGCGCGGCAACCTTTCCCATTCAGTCTGCCCTGCCCTGTAGTGCTGAAGAGATAGTAAAACAAAGCGTCACCTTCTCCAGAACGGTCCGAAGTAAAGCCCCCACGTTGTAGTTGAGTGAAGAAAAATTCTTGTGCCGGACGCACAAGGGCAGCATAGATCACAAAATCTAACGTCAACTCCGGCGGCAGGAATCGCGCAATTAAGCGATGCTGTCCCGTACTTCCAAACGAAGAATACGTTACCTGCTGGAACATTATTCTTAGTCTTAGAAAACTGCAGAATTTCGGATTCTGTCAGAGCATATTCTTCTGACTTCTGAAGGTTACTGTCAGGGAACACACGGGTCTTTTCCACCAGAACGTTTACAGAACTTTCCTCTACATCTCTCAAGCGCAGGCTAGCTTCTGAAACACGGTTATCAGAACAACGTACAACAACAGGCCATTTCATCTGATGCATCTCGTCTACTGCAATCATACTACCGATATTCTTCGGTCTGCCGAAACTAGGGCCTAGAACGAATTCGACTTCTTTTGTGAAACTCCTACCAGAGAAATCCAGTGAGAAAGATGTACTATCATGAGGGCGAAAAGAAGTTGTGATAACAGAGGAGGATACCATATCGAGCTTGTCGTACTTGTCAAGAATACTCGGAAACTTCTCAACCTTGTCTCTACACGTGCATTTCTTGAGGTCGAATGCTTCATCTAAGCCCAGTCTTCAAAGTTTTGGTTCTTCTCCCTCTACATACCCGCAAAAACATATATCAGTGTCCGACATAATGATTAACTTGAGTAATTGATTACAAGGCATTGTCCATAAGCGCAAGCACATGAAACTCGTGGAGTTTTAAAAACTATGGCTACGGACGAGCATTCGATTTCACCAGCGTATTCGCCCTGCGCTTAGCAAAAGTATTATGTATTACGAAGGAGCAACGGCAGGGGCAGGAGCATTCAACCCAAATTGATGACCTTATTGAAAAGTTAATTTCATAAGGCTTCGTCGGCAAGCCACCTAATTTTAGATAGTTTTTATGTAGATAGACCAAGCAATATACACGTGATTAATGTGTGTTAAATAACGTAATATCAAGTTTTGGGGTAAGGGTAACCACCCAATAAATACGAAGGAGCAAACAGCAGGCAAAAATTCCGCGTAATCGTGACTGAAGTAAGCCTAGGAGCTGAAGCGTTACGTTACGAACTGAAAATTTATGAGTGCATAACAAAAGATTCGCTTATTCATTTAGACTCGGGATAACAAGAACCTTCGCTTCAATGAACACGTTCAGAGTTCAGCCCGACACAACATTCATTCCTACTAGGAAAACCAAAGGGGCTGCTGGAAACGATATCAAGTGTGCGGAGACCACTTGTATCAAAGCAGGACAGCTAAAACGGGTACCTACTAAATGCAGGATGGGAATTCCCGAAGGACACGTAGGACTTCTTGGTGGACGATCTGGCCATACATCCAAAGGTATCGAAGTGAAGCTGGGCTTTATCGATGAAGATTACAGAGGATACGTAGACGTCATGGTCAAGAACGACACCGAAGAAGACTTCGTCATTAACGAGGGAGACAGATTCGCTCAACTTATAATTTGAAAGATCTTCCAAGGCCCTGTCGTAGTAGTGGAAGATCTCGACGAAACCGAGCGTGGAGAAGGGGGGTTCGGTAGCACTGATTCTAACTAGGAATGGAATGCAAATGTTTAATCCGTCGCAAGTACAGACTGCTGTTTAAAACTGTATTCGATTCCATTCCGCTGTCACTAGTCTACAGTCCTGATCAGTACCATCGACAATCCCACTTTCACGTCAAAAGTTTCACGTATTCTGTTGTAGTATGTGACGGACGTAGGAATCATACAACAAGGCTCTATAATACGTGTGCAATGACTAGGACCGTAGTCACATTCGTCTTGAGTGAAAGCAGAAAACTTATCGCCTGTTCTAATAACCATAGAAAGATTAGCTGTAACCTTGGTAAATAGGGGGTCTAGCCTGACGTACCTATGAGTCATTATAACGACTTCATTACCGGGCCGTAAGCTAATGTCGAAACATTCAGTACAGTTGCTTATTTTGAGTATTTTATAACCATCGACTAAAATGTAAAAGCTATCGACTTCTCCTGGAATGATAGTTCGACTGCCGCAATTAGCTAGTACAACATTTTTCGATGACATGGACTCCTGTTAAACTTTCGCCTTTATGGTACAGGACCAGTTAAATCGCGATTTATCATTTACAAACTTGTTGAACCACGATACTACTATGTAACGTATTGAACGAACATCGCTGGGCCAACGCGCGCTTGATTGTTTGCGATATAAAAGAGTTTCATCTGTATCAATAATTACGGGCTCTAGAAGCAATGAACAGAATCGAGCTTAATTCCGAAACGATTACTTCTACTGCGTCGAATAGCTTTTATCTGGTCAATGATGCAAACAAAGAAAGAGCTCTAACTTCAGCGGACGGAAGTTCCAATGGAGAGTACACTTTTATGAGAGTAATTATAACTATCATGTTAATTTCAGTCGTAGCTCTAGTTGTGTTCATGGGCATTACCTGCGCCAGCGATGCAGCTGGGTTCAGAGGATGTAATAATGCCAGAGATGAGTCGGATATCGAAGCTAACTACTCATCAACCGCGTACCCTGAGACTCCGCCACAACCGTTAGTTACGAAGCTCTGAACGTAGTGTATAAGTATTGGTGTTCTTTAAAACTGATACGACGTGAGAAAGATTTCATTGACAAGATTACCATGTCGACTTACCTGAAGTTTCCGAGTGACGTAACCGAGAAATGCACGTTCTTTCAAGGTAACGTAAATGTCGTACCATCCAATATTATGGCTACTGAATATCTATGGTCAGGTAGTGAAGACGGAACTATAGGGATCAAAGACTTTTGGTTACTGAAACCAAGAAGAGATATGCACTCTTCCTCATGCGAAGCTACCAGGAACATTAACGTGAGTGAAGGCTTGTACTTTCGAAGGAACGTCGCCATAGCAGTGATTACTCCATTATTCGACAACATAATGAGTAAGTTGTATAATAACACTATGAAGTCGGGCTTTAGACCGCCTATAATCAATGCAAGAGAGAATATGTATGAGTTAACCGAACTATGGGCAGTATGTAAAGAATCTAGCACAGGTTCATTCAACGTGCCTTACTACGATCATGGATGTCTGGTAGGCAATAATAATGCTCTACAACTCTGCAAACAATACAATTGGTCACCGATGGGTGACGCGCGTTTTAGGGTGTCCGTCGTCGAAAGCTTCGACAAAGAAAGTGGAATAGTAGACATAAATTCGGTACCTGAGATCATATTCGCTCTAACCGAATTCAAAGTAGACACTTCACATCTAACCTTCACTCGTGGTATGAATGCGTACGTCAACTATAACCCTACCATTCGCTATGGTACCTCTCTGGAAGTTTACAATCACACCCTCACTTCTCGTCATTCTTTATTCTACAAGACTCTGTGATCGTATGTCCTCGTACAAGCATCTTTAAAATGGTCTTGTAAATGTCGATATTTCACAGTAATTAGAACTAAGACATATACTTTAAAATAATACAAAATGAACTTCAACATTCTTCTTTCTACTCTCTACGCTACGGGACTCTACGTAGGTGCTGTTTCAGCCAATGACTGGTCCACTCTAGTAGCCATGTTTAGCAAGTCGTCATATGCTGGTGAATCCGATGTTTTCGGACTTACTGATGACCTATCTTGTCATAATCTCAAGAACACTAACCAGAAACTAGCTTCACTTGCGTGTGGGCCCTCAAAAGATTGTTTAGATATCAAACTTTTCACTTCTCCTAACTGCCCCGTTGATTCAAGGCCTGTTCTGGTAGGAGGTGATACCCAACATGTTGAGAACATCCATAATGAGACAGAGACTATCGGATTCCAATCATTTCGTATCTCCACTACTAACTGTAACACTTCACCACCTCCTATTATGAATTTGAGGGTTAAGCTAAGACACCTTCTTGAATCCACTCCTGGGTTCTCCGATGATGCAAAGTATGCAATTAATAACGTCCTCGATGAGAGTTTCTATGAAGGACTGTGATAAGGGCCTTGAACGTTTACATGTGTTCAGTTTTAAAACTTTCCGCTTTGAGCGCTAACGCTTCTTTTTTTTTTCTTGTTGAAAATGCATACCATGAATCGGAAGTTCTCACTTGATTACGATTAGGTCTGAAGACCTGGTAGTAAGATTCTTTTTACCACGTCCGTATTTACGAACCAACGCGTGATACTCAGGAAAGAAATCACAGCAGTTATCGCGTTCGTAACGCTTCCTGAACTGAGATTCAGCAGAGCCAAAATCGTTAGGATCATCATAATTCACAAGTGTACGCGAGGGATCTTCTACACTTTCGTCACTTACTCCCTTCTCCATAGAATCGCCCCAAGGATAACGTATGCTTATTTTGTCCATATAGGTAACGAAGTCGTAGCTAGGATCGCGGTCGCGTAAACCTATGTACTTGGGTAGAAACGCATTTCCCTCGAAACCGTATTGCAGCAGAGACTCAATAACGTCCCATCTATTGTACCGTAAGTAATTGATTTATCCACATCAGCAAATAAGACTAAAATATCCAATGCATTCTCAGGATTGTAGTACAATAGACTCGTCAGTAAACGTACTAGATCGAGTTTCTGCGAATGCATGCCAATCTTAGCTCTTAAACTCCGCGGCAGCAAGCGGCTCGACGACAAGTTCGATACTACAACTCCGATTTCTCTAAGCGTTATGTAACGACGGTCATTTAGGAGATTAAATAATATAGTCGTTTCTATTGGAATGTAAGGGTCCTCGAGAACGTACCTGAGCATCTTCGAACTCATACTGAGTATATAGCTTAACAAGCCTCCACTACGGTCGCAAAGAAATATCGGAAGTCCTCTACAGTACGCTTTGCGTATCTCCAATGCCAACATCTTGGTGCAATCGTCTATGTTGCTATTCAGGAGTCGTTCCGCGTACTTTGTAATCATTTCTGTAACAGACCGAGTTTCTTCGATGTTTAACATACGGTGTGTCATCGATTGAGTGTTTAGCAAGAGTCTAGTATCATGTGGGCCACGATTTTTGACGGACTCGTTTGTATCGCGTGAAGTGCACATAACTTTGAAATAAGACTTGGTAGCCTTTATATGGTTTTCCATTTCTTCCGATATACACTCGAATAGTTCAGAGTCTATCACCCCTTTCATGAATGTTTTTATGTCGTCCGTACTTACAAAAGAATTCACGGACCTTGTCTTGGTGGCCTTAGTATTATATAAGAACTGTGACAATTCTTCGAGATTCGAGAGTACTCCCAGAGTAACGGACGTAGGCAGTAGCACTACTAGAATAACACTCTTGTAGGGTAGCAGGTACTCCTTAGGCAGTTCTCCAATCAACCCCAATAGCTTTATCGTGTAGTGGAGGTAGAAGAAGTCATAAGAGGACGAAAGGAAAGTACTATATTGTAGATAATGTGGGCGAACAAGAGTCCGTATTCTTCTCCCCTGTTATACATTTCACTGTAGTCTTTGAAATGGGAGTACATGTGTGGTATACTTCTTTCCTCACTGAATGCTACGCGGAGAAGTTGGATGTTAAGCTCTCTGCCATACGCTTTTTTATGCACGACTTCCGCTATTCTTCTCAGTTTAATCGTAGTTATTACTTCGTTACAGGAGCTCGACGTGACTTTGGGAAACGACGAGAAAGACTGGTCCAGAACTATTCCTACTGAAGGAAACAGCGACAGCTCGTTGTTAAAGTCAGAAATGCCGCAAATATTGTCCAACTGGGGTATGCGTATATAGTAACGCGCAGTTTGACTGGTGCTCCAGAATTCAGCACGTTTCACTACAGTACATCTCCTTACTAGTTCCTCCATTGTATTTGCATTAATATATTCCTATACGAAAAAAAGATAGACGACATGAACGCAGTTCAATTGAATGAACTCGAATCTACGTAGAGACGTTTTAATACTGTTTATCATAGCGTGTCAACTTCACTGAAGATACATGAAACGAAATTCACGGGGTCGCGTGACACTAATTTCCCCCTAGTAAAGAATGTCTCGCAGCATGGCTTCATTCGACAGCGATCGAAACCATTGATGAACGCAAATCTCTTGTCTAAAAACCTTATTTTTACATTTTTTACGTCCGCATTAATTTGAGTCTGATAGAACACATCGAAGAATACAGGTTTGCTCCTAGGCACTCCGTCTTTCTTAAGAACGGTTCTCTTATATATCCTCCATACTTTGATAGCCTGTTTTCGGAGAGCATCACAGATCCTACTAAAAATCCGGTTGATATCGGTCAACAGCACCTCTACGAGGATGTCCTCCTTAGTTAGAAGATCTTCCGTGTTAACGAGATGATACATAGACGAGCTGCTTAACGAAAGTGAACCCTGACTTATCATCTCTGATACTTCGTCCATATTCAATGCAGCAAAGAGGTTCTTAACACCCAGCGTTAGATGCGAGTCGATTGGTTCGCAAACAGTGGTCAGATATAGAAGTTCTACGTCAGTACCACAACCGAATCCTTTATCGAACATAATAGCTCTAAATAAAATGCTTGTCTTCAGCGGGATGCTTTCCATACTACGTCTGATGTGTATAGGGTCCAGTTCATCGTTACTGGGTTCAGCAGAGTTTTTCTCTTCGAATTCCTCGAAGTGTACTCTACGAGGTCTCATACTTGATACAAGAGATTGTGATGTCATTTCGTAAATCAATTGATTTCCATAGGTTCAATATGAACACTCATCACGAAGGCCGTGCGTCCTGTTCCTCGAGGGTCCTTATGACGAGCTTCTCCAGCAACGACACACTTACACCAATCTCTTGCCTACTAGAGAGCCCTGACCGAAGAAAACTGTGTTCGACTAAATTCTCTATGATAAGCGGAAGAAGCTCCATAGAGTCTGTCAAAGAACATGTTTTTCCTCTAGAAACGCCACGTGAGATAGTAGGTCTTGAACTCAATGACGAAAGCTTCATTACTATACGCTGTCTCAAGCACCAACACTCTTTCGGTAGAGCGTCTTATCAAGAACACTTGGAGGATGTAGATTCTGAAAACGAACTCGTAGTGATCGCCCTCAACTCATTCAGATCTCCTATAGCTAAATCCTGTAATTATATCTCTGTCCTCTATCATTGCAACAAGTGTAATAATGATACGTACATTTTGCTAGGTGAATACTTTGGTAGCTACAAAAACTTCTTGCTCAAATTGCAAGATCTGATCACGATGCCTAACGTATGCTCGTGTTGTAGGCAAAGAACGTTATTGAAAAAATACAAAGAGGTAGACTTATGTCCTCGATGTTACAGGCACATACCACACGAATACGTTAGACATATTAAGGACAGAGAGTTTCACGAGGAAGTACGAAACGCTTTCCTGAAGTCGTTAGAAGAACACGGGCGTTTTAAAGTACGAAAGAGGGAATACGTCTACGATACGTTTTAATCATCGGAGCATACCTCGATTATAGAAGGTTTACGCGAACGCTTTTCTTCTTTTAGTACTCTATGTAGCAATTGTAAGCAATACTGTTACGAAATAGATAAGATTCTCTACTCGAAGTCCTCGATCGGTCGTTGTATTGAAGTATATAAGCTCCTTGATCGCATATTGATCTGTGAAGCCTGCAGGTCATACCTATGTGCAAGCGTCTCAAACGGTCATTGATAGGGATTCGAGGAACGAGTGTAGAAATTTTAAAACTTCAGTGATGTGCGTTTATGTATAGAACTCAATTGCATGTGCTAGGGAGTCTGGAGTACAGTTGCTGAACTTCGTCTTCTCGATATACTCTTCTAAGGATCTGTTAGTTGGGTGCTTGGATGAGTGAGAATCTGTGTCTTCATCGCCTGTACTGTTCGACATCTCATTGGTAGCATTCTGTGACGCTACAGTGAAGGGAAAATCCTGAAGCATCCACCTTACGAAGTCTGCACGCAAATTCATCAGTATATAGTCCTTAGGCTTGACCTTACAAATGCACATCACCGTCAAAAGCCTGCATTTGGGACACTTCGATACGACCACCATTCCTGATTCCACGCAATGTTGTCGTATCATCTCAAAACTTCTTACTGATGCTTGCGTAATGATTGACATCTCGCCATCTTTAGGACCACTTCCCATCTTTCTGTTAGGCGGTCGCCCTTCTGTCACAGGTTCGGAGACTAATTGTTGCTTGTTCTCAACAAGGTGTGCTAGAGGATAATACTGGCATATTCCGTAGTAGCACTTAGTGAGTACAATCCCTTTCTCGTCGGCATATTCTTTCATTTTCATGAAGTCTTTAGCCCGCCAACTCATCAGAGCGCGGTATAGAATGACGTATTTCTTATTGACCAGGAATTGCTTGTTTCCGTTTTCCTCATCTATATGTGTCCAAGTTTTGATGTCCTCGTGTTCCGCGTCAGAATCACTACTATCGCTTTTACGTTCTTCTTCTGTGTCCATTTCGCTACTGAGTATATCCCTATCTCCGTTCCTAGTCAGTGTTCCATACTCATTCTCGAGTGCTGATTTTTCTGATTTGCAGTCGAGACAGCTTCCGCCCAACCTTCTGGTTCTGGAGGGATCTATTTGATTCAGCACAGACTCCCATCTTCTGAGTTCTACAGGGAAGAAACAAAGAAGGACATGTATAACCTTTCCAGACGATGTTTCGTAACCTGGTACCTTGACGTAACACGAAAATTCTCTCTTAGGCAACCGACTCTCTCTTTCATATTTATGGTCCTTCGGTGTAAAATTCACTACATCACGACCTACTATTTCCATAGCTCTGAAAGCTTCATGGAGTTGCTCCTTAGTTTCTCTGTTGACTAATGAAGTCATCGGAAACTGAACGTGAGGATCTATTGTTATGTCTAGGTCCGCATCGTAACCCATAACGTTATACCTCCTGTCAACGATTACCGAGTTCGTGAACTTTTGTCCATAAGGAGAACTTATCACCCACTCGCGATACATCCGACTTTACTAGAAGCGTAAGTGATCTGTTCTTATTAGAGTTGATGGATTCTACTATTTTTGTGGTCGTGCCTGCGATTCTACACCATCTATGGGTCTCTGGACTTATCTTTTCTCCCATAGCTACTTCTACACCTTTTTTGATAGGGTGAAAGACATATCCTTCTCTTGTGAATATCTTTTCATCACTGACCTTCGAAGAAAACACTAACGCATCAGCGTAAGTGAATTTGTTATTCACGAACATTGTAACCAATGGAGCTTCTGGAATGGTCATATTCTGAACGTCCTCTTTCCTATCCATTATTTGTGACATAAGCTTTGTTCTTATAATCGGGTGATACTCGCAAACAGGCCGCATGCAAGAAGCGTTAGAAGCGAAAAGTTTAGCTATTTCTTGACATATCATTGAAGTTCCTAGTAGAATTCTCACGGCGACTGATGACTCTGAGAAGCTTACCAACTTAGCCAGTGTTCTGCATTTTTCATGGAACGAACTCTTAACGTACTTACTACCCAACTTTCTGATAACTTCCCTATCGCGAAACATGACATTATCGAGCCAGAGCTGGTCATAATGTAGTTTCTTGGTATCCTTAACGCTTTATGGCCTCATAAGGCATCCTGCTGCTATAGAGATAACGCAAACTCTTAACTTTCGGAATACCCATACCGAGGGCGCGTCCCATCCTTTTTGCTTCAGTCTCTTATCTAGAATGGAATCTATATAGTCTTTGTCGGTTTCTACGACAACGCCACAGAAGCATATCTTCCAGTCTCTCTTGCCACCATAACTTCTCTTAACTACCTTCAGGGAGACGTAGTCTTCGATACTAATTCGTCCGTCACTAGCCTGAACCTAACGCCGTGTACGAGAGACATAATATTGATAGCGTTAGTACTGATGGTAGTATACTCAGAAGCTATGAATCCCTTCCAGGACTTCCGAACTTTTCCTATCTCGGTATCGTACTTGGCTACTTGATCGAATGGCATGAAAACTCGCATCTCCACTAAAGCGTTATCGCACATTAACGCAAATAAAGTAGGTCGGAAAGCGCCGCTCTCTAGTTTAGTGAACTGTTCTTGATGATACACAGAACCGTTATTAACAGCCTCTGTACATGCTTTGAAAGCAAGGAAGTTGTAGAATTGAAGCGGTTGTACTCTATCTATCTCATTCCTAACGCTAATCCAGATTTCGCATATGGTCTTGTGGATGTTATTATCGTTTCTTATCCACTGGTCTTTGCGTAACTTCGACATACAACGATCCCACGTCTTGCTGTTTCCGGACTTTCCATTATGTTCCACGAACAAATAGTAGTTCTTGTTTTTCGAGTCTCTGCAAGCAGTGGTTAATACAGGTGCGTCATAAATGTTGTCGTAGAATCGAGGCACTGCGAATGACTTGTAATTAGAAGCTAGGTTCCTGTTATCTACATTCAACGTTTCTTCGTACGCGATGTTGTCATCGCTTAAGTCACCTCCCATGAGAAACAATGAAGCTGTCGCCTTCATAAACTGTCTGTTAGGAAGGTTAGTAGTAACTAACTTAGGAGCCTTTACCTTATCATTCCATCCGGGAAGATGCTTCTCCAGTGTGGCGGAATCTGCGAGGAAGTCTTCCTCCTCATTAAATCCTAAGAGTTCTTGGAACTCAGCGTCCATCGTCAATGTTGATCGATTATTTGCTCCCCATTTTTTAAAAAGGCATGTTGAATTATTATTGATGGTTAGACTAGACACGGAATTTAAGTTTCGAATTTGAAACTCATAATACTACGGACAAGATCCTTAGCTTTGCTTACTATATCTAGTAAGAGGAGAGCTTCTGTGTCTACAACGTACTCGAACACAGAAACCAACAAAATAAGTACTCTTGCTCGTATAACACGGAGGTATTCGCCTTCGTTGACCACGTTAGAGTTAGCGATACTGAATAAAACTTCTAATTCTGTCTGAGATAAGGTATCGCTTTCCATCTCGTCGACCATGTTCTCGTCATCGACTTCGTCGACGATGTCATATTTGTCACTTTCGTAAGCTTCATATGCCTTGTCGATGACTTCGTCGATTGACACTTTACTCCCCACGCACTTCCTGTACTGAGAGTTTCTGTCTATTGTCAAACTATCGGAATACGGATTCTCTGCGTCGTTAGCGCTGATATAAGATGCTATTTTCATACACTCCGAGAATTCACTGTAATACGCAGCGATGTCGTCTAACATACGTTTTCTTACGATCAGATTGTCTTCAGTTTTTGATTTGTACTGGTTCCAGAAATGACGCATTTTCTTGTAGGTTTCGATGAAATCCAGCGAATGACGAAAGAAAGATTTGTTTATGATAGCTATTTTATGAACACTTGGTGTACTACTGGTGTTGTTGATACATGCACCCTCGCCGTTTATATCTAGGCACCAAAATACACTCAGTATGAACGAAAATACGTTAATGTACCGTACGGTCATTACTTCGGCCCTAACATCGAGTTCGGTATGCGCTCTTATCATGTTGGTTATGGACTATCACGCGGAGTTTTTTTTTGCTCCTGCTTCTTCGTATTTACAATGCGCTTACTAACGTTATATACTCCCCGTACCTCTGCTCTTAGAACACTGGATATTATGAGTACAGGATCGTACTATGATATATAAACTCTCTAAAATTAGGGGGCTTGCCGACGAAGCCTTATGAAATTAACTTTTCAATAAGGTCCTTTACTTGTTATGGTTTGCTCCTGCCACTGCCTCTTCGTAATGACTATGATTTGCGCGAGCGCGAAATCGGCTCAACTATTTTATCAGGTTCAGTGGCGGCTTTTCTGTTTCTGAACTCAGTAGAGTATTTATATTTCTTTAAGAGAAAGATTTCGCACTTGTGTTATCCGAGTGAAGCTTAAGAACTGGTATTAAATATAACTCAGAGACGACAATGTATCAACGCCTGCTATCGTTTCTCATTTCGTCATCGGTGGCTTTATTTTCTAACGCACATACCTGGATTGATTGCCTGGATCTCAATTACACGAAATTATCAGAAGAATACGGAAGTTTCATGCAGTCTACTTCTTCTGTTATGAATGTTTGTAATGGTTATGGAGAGGGATACCCTGGACGGTACGGAGGAACCGACATAGATTCCGTTTATACTCATAGGATTGTTCATGATGATGAAGTTCTAGGCGTGGATGTATGTGATGGAGGTAGACTAGAGTCAGAATACTCGAGAGGACAGAACGTTTTGAAAGTGGAACCCGGCATGCGTGTGTACTATGGGTATTTGTCGAACGGTCATGTAAGCATAGACGAACTGGGTCAGAACACCTACCACGGAGTTTATTGGTCTGGTTCTAGTTCTTATCGTATTAATTCTACATTGCAAATCGACAACTCTACTCTCATAGACGGAAAAGTACTACCATTCGATGATGGAAGATGTGGTGGTAATGATCAGATAAGCGTTAGTAATGGCTACACACGTATGGATTCAGGGGTTCCGTGTATCGGTTATTTCGACGTACCTGATGATACTGACTCAGGAACTTACGTTTTGGTGTGGTATTGGAGGATGTACTTGTTGAACTCAGCAGGTGAATATGATTCTGTGTGTAATGAAGGCAGAGGTGCCGCTAGTTACAGTACCTGTTTTAAGATGGAAGTCAGTAACACTAATAACACGACAGGTGTTAAAGATCAGACACTATTCTCGTACGAAGACTCTTTGCATAACTCCAACGATAGTAGTGCGTGTAATCTGTTACCCTACATGAACTTTGAAGGCCTGCATATTTCTAACTCTGACCGTTTTTAAGGTAAGCCGTGACTTCTTGGTACTCAGTGTCTTTTTCTTAAAACCGTAGGAGTTTCTATGATAAACTATCGGTAGCGACTGAATGTGAGAGGTACTCCGTCTCTAAAAGTATCTTTAACCTGTTTTGTACGTATCCTACCCAATTGTCTTCAACCTTGTCTTCTCCTATACGACAAGCAGTGAAGCCTTCGAATGTTTTGTTTCCCAAGAGCGTTCCTGTATTAGGTCTCCTTATACAAAACGGGCATAACACGAAAAGGGAGAAGCGCTCGTTGCTAATCCAGTCACTATTCATTCCGTATGTAACAACCTTCATGGATTCAGGAATCACGATTTCCTCCTTTGATAGGCTTAGTAGCCAGTTACCGCGTATGGTACAGGTGCAAGGTCTGTTAGACATATCGGGTAGAGAAGAGAGCTTGCATCTCATGAAGTATTCTACCATAGAGCTAGGTATTGTTATATTATATACTCCTCGTATGATATATTCCTTAACTACGTCGATAGTAACCAAAGCCCTTTTGGGTCCTTTATAAAAAGTCGATAGACACCGTGAGAATATCTCCGACTTTCTTTTTCCTGTGGTATGTGACAAACTCGGACGGCTACAGTGTTTACATTCTCCTATGAAGTCATTTCTGCTATTAAGGTTGAATAAGGAATCGATTTCAATTAAGTCTGACGACTCGAGCGGTATAGTACTTCTTTTATTTGTGTCTATACCGGAACAAAAATCCAGAAAGATATCTATAGGTTTTCTTCGAGCTCTTGACATCCGAGTCTGCTTTTCGCTCATTGAATAGCATTTCGATATAGGAGGTGAACCCAGTAACCTTCTCAAACAATAAGAACACCTTATTATTGCATACGCAGGTTCTCCTTCTTCACAGACGTCTCTCAATCCTAGTAAGGGATGGCTTTCAAAATTGCATTCGCACGCGTCGTTGATGGTACACCGTGGACCCTCTAAATCGTAACCGAGCACGGAACGTTCCAAGTACCTTTTTACTTCTTTATCACAATCTTCTTTTAGCGAGAGGATTCTCATGTTAGCTGTGATAACGTACGCATCGTTCGAATACTCTTCTAGTACAACGTTCATCTCCTTCGCGGTACTAGGGATTTTAGTTTTAAATGAAATGCTAAGTACCTGCTGTAGCATAGTTTCCTTCTATCATAATACGCACGATTCGATCCTCAATCGTGACGGAGCTCTTGTTGGTGACTAGGATATCATAGGCAAACTTAACGTACCCTTTGTCATCATAGATGTCATTCTCAGGACAATATCTACGGGAGATTTTCATGCTTATATCGTCCGATAGGAAGGTCTCATCGAGGCTTAACTTTATATTCGTCTTCAGCCTCCATTTCAGTGTTACGTTTGCGTGACAGGAGCCATGAGCGGGAAGTCGTGGCGTAGAAACCTGGTAACGAATGAGTGATTGTGGTACATATGAGATTAGTTTGTATGGAAAATCAGCACGTAGTATCTCGAGTAAGTGATTGGGGCTAGTCTCTTGTAGGTTACATGCCGACATATCTTCTAACTCCTCTGTGATGCACACACTCGTTCCTAGAATGAACTTCTTCGTCTCTCTTATTGGATTGTAGTATCAAATTTTTATACGAGGTATTGTAATCTCGGAGTACTGTGTACGTTCCTTGGTATGACACTCCTTCGTTTATACGGTAAATAGTTATGATGCAAGTCAAGAAAGAAGAGATATTAAGAGGTTCTTCATTATGACGAGAACTGTGACTAAGGATAGCAGACCTTTCATAGTCAGGTACACGCATGGCAAAGGCCAGCCAAAAGATGGAATCCTTGAGGTCAAGTCTATGAAGTACAAGATCGTTAAGACCAAGTACATGGAGTACTCCCTGTCAAAGATGACAACAATGAACTCACTGGATCACGTTGTACGCTTCATGACGACTGCTATGGTCATTTCATAGGCGAGGGTGACAAAATATCATTTCTAAATCGTTTTGTAGACTTCGAAAGTACTGTGCTAAGTTTGGAAACGAGACTTCATGAGTTATATATGGTCAAGAATGTTATATCGAGTTCCATGTTCTCGAGAGCAGTTTGTGATACACTGACTGGAAAGAGTGGTTTGTTAAGGAAGAAGACTCAAGCAGCATACCCGCAATCTTGTCTGAGATGCGTGACGACTCTACGGCCATGGGGAGAACCCATAGACATTGATATACCTAGTTATATCTACGAGACATTGGTAAGGATAACGAATGACAAAGCTTTTTGACAACAAGATAAATGAGTTAAACCTCTACTGTACGTTTTAAAGAAGTCTCGAGAGGATATCCTGCAGTTACCATTACTGCTGCGTTGTCCAAAAGAATATCACAAGAAACACTCGACAAGGCTAAAGGCAAGAGTACTACTTCGTTAGGCGACGTTTTATTCGAGTTCTTGTGTAACAAGCCACCTTACCATTATTGGTTGAGAAAGAAAGACGTAACTTCTAGAAAGGTCAAAGTTGTAACCGAAGTACGAAACATTCCTAAAGGATATAGAGTCTATGCAACTACTGACAGAGAATATGCATTCGAAAATATCAAACACAGGGACTTACTCAAGTGTTTTGCCATGACTGTGGAAAACATCTGTATTATTATGTCCTATACGCCTACAGATGAAGAAGTAATATCCTTCGCTACATTGGTCTACATGTGTACTCTATCTGATTATAGAGAATCAGTGACGAGCATCGAACCCAATCCTCTACCTAGCAAACTGCCATTGAATTACTTCACTGTAGCTAATTTGTGTGGAGTCCCTATAGCGAGCAAAGCATTCGCCAGGTCAGAATGTATGATAAGTACTATGTCGCCTCCTGTAGCAGTAGCTTTGGGTAACCTGACTAGGATAATTAATACTCAATATTCTCGTAAGGTTCTAAACCACTGACGAATTCTCTCATGAGAGTTTCATCCGAAAGAACGCGAACTAAGAGGTCTTTAAAATTCTCGAAGAAGAATTCCAACCTCAAACGGAGTAAGTATCTTTGCTACAAAGGTACCATTGATAGCGTTTTAAGATCATGTGATGGGAGGACTATGGCTATATTAGAAAAGAATTCCACACCCTTCGTTTACTCGTTTTCTTTGTCGGATACGATGAAAGTCTTTAGAGTATGCAAAGATAGAGTACCTCAGTTCGGGGCACTCTACGTCTATGACGGTTATGACAAAGACACCGGGTATTTAGTGAAAGAGAGTGGTTTTAGCATGAGAGTGAAACGAAGCAGTAAACCACTAAGAGCTATAGTGCGTTTGAACGACATGAGAGAATTTACAAGGCGAATGGGTGATGACTCAGTTACCGACGATGGTACTACTTTCACTGAAGGAGTTTATTTCTCGGATGGTATTAGAGCTTTCGGTACGGGTATCACAGTCGAGAGGATTAGAGACCTATACAAGAACTACGTAGGAAGTATGAAAGGCCTCGAAAATATAGTGCAGTGTATTCGTATAGTGTCTTCGGTGATTGAAAAGAAGTAAAGTCCCGGTCAGTTTTAAAAACGGCTGATCGTTTAAGCCTAGTCTTCGTCAGAAAAGCTGTCATCCGATGAATCCGGGTCTTCATCCGACTCGCTATTCGACTCTGTGGAAGAGGAAGAAAGAGGAGACGAAGAAGAGGAACAGTGTGATGATAATGACCTAGATGCTATAGATGATTCCGATTTCTGAGAACCATTACCGTTGCTATCGTCATTATCACTGCCACTATCTGAAAGAGACGAATCCGAGGATACGGACGACTCGGGTGACGATACCGATGATGATAGATCCGACAGTACTGATGAAACTGATGATGACGACGATAACGAGGATGACGATGACGATGAAGATAATGACGACTTAGATGAACTAGATGAACTAGACGAAGCGGAAGACGACGAGGAAGATGAAGACTCTGATGACACAGAAGATGACTGTGACAGATATCCGTCAGATGAACGGTCTTCTCCTTCCGTAAACAAGGACGAGTCTACGATCGCGTGAGTGAAACCGCTTATTGAAGCAAGTATCTCATGACCTCTCTCCAAGTCAGTTTTGTTCCGAAGTTGGTCATCTCTTCTTCCTTTCCTTCTTAGACTCTTGCTATTCCGATCAACAAAGTTTCGATCTATTTTTTTGGAATTCTCGGAGTTCTTGAGTATCCTCTCTTTTACGTACGTACCTGCCTTTATGAGGTTTTTGATTTTCTTACGTGAGTCGTTGAAGCTTTGTATTGTATCACATGTACTACCGAGTATAACTTTGAGTTGTTCTCCCAAGTTGTTCGCAATCACGACGATGACATCATAACGGAGTCCTATCTCATGTAAGAGTTTGCCTTTCTTACCTTTGCTCTCTTTCTCCTTCGCAGATTTGGCTTTCTTCTTCACGCCTTTTATATCATCTTTGAGATTCCTAGCAGTTTGTTTCAAAGTTCCTACACTAGGTTCTTCGAGGTCCACGTCGTTATCTATCTTCAGAGGCTGTGTCACAGTTGCATTCACTATTCCTTCCTGAACCGGATTGTACGTTGAAGTAAGAGAGACGCTCATGGAGTCGGCCCATGTTTTAATGGAGACAGTAGGCTTAAGTGCGTCCTGCATGGACTTAAATAACTCTTCAAAATCACTCTCTGGTTTGTTAAGTTCCTTGCTTATCCTTTTCTGTACGCTTTCGAGTTTGGGTATGGTTTCTTTAAGTGCACGGTTAGTCTCTCTAGTGAGAATTATTCTTGCGTTTACTTTTGTCTTCTTTTCCATGTCTAAAATAGTCTCCGAGAATACTTCGAATTCAGTTAGCGTAGATGCAATCTCTGCCTCGGATAACGAACACCTCAATATGAGTCTCAGTAAGTCCCTAGGCGATCCGAATGACCTAAGATCTTTTTTGTCGTATGTCTTCGAAACGAGATTAGCTTTTCTCCTGTATTTATACCATGTATTGTCTTGTGACGCGTCGTGTTCTTCCTCGATTTTAGGACATACACGTATCAAAGACTCACTTAACTCGGAAAGCGTAGCCGATACTGATGGTTCGTCAACTAAGATTCTCCTAGACAGAGCTACAGGATGCGAGATGTTCCTGCGTGTAACCTTTATCACACGCCTTCTTCGAGAACCTAGTTGAGATTTTGCTTCTCCTATTACAGCACTAGCTTCAGCTCCTATAGAATAAATGTTGAACTCAGTTATGCCATATGCCGAATGACTGATTTGTATACTGATTTGTATGAGTAGCTTAAAAAAACGGGAGAAGTGATTTCGAACACGATGCCTCGTCTCTGAACTAGGAAGGATCTTGGTTTGATATGAAATGACGTTCAAGTACGCAACGCCTCTTCTCAACTGTGCGAAGCTGGTAGCTATATTATCGCTAAGCATTCTGACCTGCATCTCCGATTCTTTCCTATTCTTAAAGGAAGTCTCACAGAGCAGGAATTGCGAAAGCGTTTGTACGCTAGGGGTGTATCCACCAGAAGTATGAGGATCGAATAAGAACGCTGACGCATACTTCGGAAGTTGTGGTGAGTCGTACGGTTCTTGACTTAAAACTATAGTGTCTACATGGTAAAAACTCAATAACGAAAGGTACCGAAAACACGGGAATCTAGATCTAACTTAGACTCTTTTCTACAACTAGTGGCGTAGTTAATGACGTTCTCTTTCATAAGTCTCGTATACAATGCGGATCCTATGGAATTGCTGTAGAATGTGTGCACATGAACTCGGTTATCCATGATTCACCGCTTGCAATTTTAAAACGCATACCGTGTATTTATTTACTTGAATGCAAGGCGAACTTTATGAGCGATTCCATATGATTCGAAAGTATTCGAACTTGGCGCATATACTCTCTCGTTCAATCTCCTAGTCTTCATCGGATTCGTCGCCGTCATCTCCGCTACTCTCTTCGCTATCGCTTTCACCGTCCTCATCTGCGTTGTCCGAACCATCGTCATCGCTATCTTCTTCACTGCTTTCGTCCTCTGATCCGGAGCTCTCCTCATCGCTGGATTCATTATCATCCGACTCACTATCGTCATCACTTTCATTCTCGCTTTCCGAGTCTTCGCTGTCAGAATCAGAATCCTCCTCTGAGTCGGAGTCGTCCTTTTTCTTTTTGGACTTACTCTTTTTCTTGTTCTTGTCTTTACGCTTCTTGCTAGAGAGCTGCTTAAGAACCACAGTAGTCTTCTTGGTACCAGAATTCGCGTTATGCTCGCCGTAATTGGTAGGAAACGACATCAATCCAGTGTCCATAAAATCAAAGACTATACCGCGGCAGTTACGATCCAGCGACCCGAAGTTGAAATTGCAGCGGAGCGTAGGCCCTCCTGTGCTAATCTTCATGCCCATGCGCAGTTGAATGGAAAAAGCCTGAGACTTGCTGACGTTAGGAATGATCTTGTAAACATCATTGACACCGATCTTGCGCTGGACCTCCTTCCCCTTCGAGCTCTGTCCTACCACGCGGAAGAGTTCGTTCATGCGAGCGTAGACCGGATTGCCTTTTATGACAGGGAGTTTCACGTCATACCACTTGCCCTTGATGTCGTTGATGACTTCCTCTTTTCCAGAGGGCAGGTTGGATGTACTGATCGAAGTATACTTCCTCCACTCGTTGGGTTTCATGTTGTAACATGTCTTTACATAGTCCAAGAGAGGACTAATCATTGATTCCACGTCTTCATCAGGAATCCTAAAAGCGAGGTAATGAACGCCATACTTCAGCTTGCCGCCATTTCCGTACCCCTGCTTGGACCGCTTCTCACCCTCGCTATTGTGCAAAGGATCTACTAGCGCGTGGTAGAAAGGAATGTCTTCGGAGACGACTACGTGACCCGTCCTAACATTTTTAGCCAAGACAAGAGCCGTAGACATAGGCGTAGGTGGACCTTTGTTGTCAGGTCTTGCGAAAAGGAAGGGATCTCCCGGATAAAGCGTAATCTGACCGGTTCCGTTAGTCCAGTTGTAGTACTGTAAAATCCGTTATCGTCGACTACAGGGTCAGTAAGCGTCGGAATAGACAGAGAGTTCTCTTTGCCTTTGAGTAGAAAGCAGTCAATCACTGTGCGATTCTCCAACGTGATCTTGTGATGGTCCTTGTTCTTTGCTACAACTTTCTTGATCTTGTCGGACCCAACTTTACCGCTTCCTGTAAGTTTGCTCCAAATATCGAAGCTTTGAACCAGCTTTTCTTGAGGAGTCCTTTTATTTTTCTTTTTGGACGTCTCCTTCTCGACTTCCCTCTTCTTCTCGACACTTCGCTTCTCAGTCTTCACACGTCTCTTCTTTTCGTCATCATCCGTCTCTTCGGACTTCCTAGAAGGTCTCTTTGCTGGTTTGTCTGACAGCCTCTCGTCTGGCTTTTTCGACGACTTTCCTGAAGACTGACTTGATGACTTCCCGGACGATTCCTTAGAAGATTATTTCATACTTTTCTTTTTCTTCCTCTCTTCTCCTCCTGCGTTCACACCATCGAATCGGATACGTTCTCCTACGCTGCCACCCTCTTGGATTGTCTTCAATTGTTTCGCCATTTTCGTAAGCTTGGACTTCTCTTCGCGTGTCAGACTATCATGCTTCTCGTGGAACTTCAGTATGTACTTGATAAGGGTCCTCGTCTTCTTAGTCAGAACACTGGTCTCTCCGCTAATTGATGCTTCGTACAAGTGGTCGTAACTTGGAACAACGACTTCCACTAGAGTATTTCTCAGCAAATCGTGATCGATGGTCTCCTTCTTCCACGAGTACAAAGCGTCATCACATGCAATGATGAAATCTCCGGTGTCCTTGGGATACAACTTGGACTCGTAGTCACGATCATTTTCATTTTCTCCCCCAACGCCCTCGAGATCATCATCGTCAGAGTCGCTATCGTCACGTTCACCACCTGCAACTCTGATTCCACGCTCTTTCTTCTTACCAGCCTTCTCTTCGATACCTCCAACTGAATTGCTGGTGCCAACATCATCATCGTTCTTCTCGTCATCACCTTCTTGGGTATGTCTCTCGCTCTTCTCGTCCGACGTGGGTGTTTTCGTACCGTCTACCTCGGGATCTTGCGTTTCATCGGCAAGGAGAAACTCAGCATTAGAATTCTTTAGAAGAGCTTGGGTTTCTTCCTCCGATTTAGTGGGAGTAATAGAAGGTTGAGTAGAAGTCATGAGCTCACTTTCTCTTTCTTCGGACTTAGGCTTGTCACTTTCAGCTTTGTACACCGTTGTTTTTTCACTCAAGTCCTTAATGTCACTCTCGTCAACTATCTTCTTCTTATATATTCGAGTGGGATTCGTCTGTACCGACGATGTATTGTCACCCAACTTACCAGCACGTTTCTTGGCCATATTTGAGAACTCGCCTGCGTCACTCGTAACAGACACGATACCACTAGCTTGCGTATGACTTACTGTTATAAATTTTTCTTGAGCATAGCTTGCTTCAATTTTCAAAGGCATACATCTTAAGGTCCAGGTTTAAGTCTCGATTGACATCCGTGTTTCATTTGATCAGGAATATCATCAGGACTTTCCCTTCTCTCATGACTTCTCCCGACGTGTCACTCGTAGTAAGTTGTATCTTGTTCTCTCCTGAACCGATGTTGTATATGTAAGAAACGTAAGTCGACGGGGTGCGGAAGAAGTACACTCTGCTGTCTTCTACCATGCCCTTAACATTCGAGATGTCGAAGACCCTGGGAGTGTTGCTGTCCAGTTCTAGGTTTTCCTCGCATATCAAACTGAAGTACTCAACAGAGGAAGTTTTACATTCTACACTTACGTTGATGTCGTTCATGCGTCCTGCGAAAGTACCATCTGCGATACACCTCTCGAGCGAGATCGCTAGTACGGTTCCCTTCTCCAAAGTATACTCGTTCATACGTGAGTCGGAAGAGGATAGGTCGAAGTCGAATTCCAAAGAAAGTTCGTCTCCGTTGTCGTTCGTTTCTATTCCCGCTATAAATCTGGTGTTTTCTAGGAGGAAGAAGCCACCTACGCTGTTGCTAGTTCGAGGAATGCTGACTTTCAAAACATTCGAACCGAACACCAGATCAACGTCTTCGCATAGAGTCAGGTAAGAGAACGGGAATAGCGAGGTTTCAACTTTCATTGTATTCTTATTCCAAGTCCGCGGATTACTCTGTTTCCCGATACAGAAGCAACCAGGTTTCTATTTATAGATGCTAAATTGTTCAACAGTTCCTCGCCCGGTGCCATACCTGCGTTAAGCATTAAAATTCTAGTTGCGACAAGAGCTTCTTCTGGACTGAGATCAAGTTTGAATGTAGTACCTCTTGTAATGCTTGCAGCTTTACAACCAAACATAGTCAATAGCGCGTTTTCTAAACAAACGGGGGGTTGGTCTAAGGTCAGTCTTATTCCGACGCAATTACGTATAAAACACATACGATCTTTCTCATGTATATCAGGAGACATAATCTCTCTTCCTAGTAAATTACGAGAAGCCTTGATAACACATGTACGTCGTGTGAACCACATACTCTTAGTTTGCTTGTTACAATCCCACAGAGAGTTACTCGCCAGGATCACTGTGCTGTCTATGGTGATATTGTTGTTATCTACCGATACTGCGTCTCCTCCAACGGAAGTCTTCCAGAACGACTCGTTTATCTGACCATCCTCTACGGTAACATCGCCGTAAACTACTATTCTGTTACTTGCCATAGCCATGAGATCCTCATTGGTTATCTTCTTGCGAGTACCTACGTAATCTGTACTTAGAGGATGGGAACAACCTCTGAAAGCTTCCAGAATGTTCGTTATAATTGTACTCTTCTCTGTACCTGCGGTACCGTAAACGTAGACTATCCTATTATTTGTTTTCCAGTCCAAAATAGAATTTCCCAGGTACCACATTAAACATCTGAGGGAGAGAGGGTCTAAGGCAGTGAGCATAGCTCTTTCTAGAACCCCTAAACTTAAAATCTCTGTTTTCTTGAACAACAACTTAGATGAAATTGGTTGTGTCACCAAGTTAGACATAAGTCCATTGACTGATCCATGTACTACACTCCTAAATGCCTGCTTACATATATCGAACTTGACTTTTATTGTGTTCTCCTTAGGCCTTTTTTCGTAATTGTTGTATTCGGTGTTATCAAATTCGGAGTTTCCGTTGACTAAGTATCTCTTATATTCTCTTTTCATCCACTTCTTCTGATTATCGAGCCAATCTTCACTCATAGTTTCTTTCATGTCCTTTAGACTTGCAAACGCCCAATATCTAGTGATTGCTGCTTCGAAAAAAGCAGAACATTTTCTATTCGTGTTCATCGAAGGGAGTATGCAAAGATCTTGGTACAACTCATTTATAAAACGTATGCGTTTATCCGCGTTCGGTGAACTACTATCTTTACTTCTCTTGATTCCTTTCCTGTGAGTAACCTTTTTTTTCTTTTCTTTCATTTTGATATTCGTTATAAGTTCTACTTCGTACCGTTGGATGCCTACGCAAATGCTCATCGACCTCATAAGCTCGACTGTGCTTGCTACATAGTTTATAATGCCCAGATAAGGAGCCGCTGCCCTTTCGTAGGTAGACGGCACAGAACTCGCCACTATGTTACCTATAAGTTTCATGCCCGCTAAACTCCAAAGAGGAACCCAGCATCTGAGCGAGACATCTGCAATGTAAACGATGCCTAAAATACGAACTATATATCCGGGTCCTACTAGCTTGTCCTTAAGTTTAGACTCATTGGTGCTAGAGACCGGTTCGTTGAGATAATTGCTGTAAAAAGTTTCAAGTTTGAATTCATCCTCGTACATTATTTCGTCTTTGTTATAGTAACTCGTTAGGCGTATGTTTATAAGTACCGAGGAGTACGTGAATCTAGTAAACTCGGGTTATATACCAGTGTCATGTCGCGCGTTATCTCCTGAGTTCCCGGATGAACTCTGTGTGTATGAAGCTCTGGGTATCGATAAGGACGACGAGGACAAAGCATTACTTACAATAAAGTTCGTTTACCCCAAACCACGCAGAGTTCTTATCAGATTTCTAAGGCTGGACATCTCGCTAGCCATAGAAGAAAACGGTTTTAAGTTTCTACCAAAGCTGGTGAGTAAGAAAGAGAAGATGGGGAAGTTGGGTTACTTGCCTTCCACTAAAAGTACGCAAAACAAGGAAAGAGCTGCTGCAATCTTAGGCTATGGTGCGTACTTACATCCTGATCATGAAGTCTCAGTAGAAATTTAAGATCTCTACCTAGCAGGGTTGGATATAGAACAGACCTCTCACATCAGTGGAGAAGGCAGATTTCCTAGTCCTTCCGATCATATTATCTCTATAGCTATAAGCACTAACGCGAACGAGTACTTGGTATTTTACACACAGGGATACATACTAAGAGACAATATGGAAGACTACAAGAACGCTCAATAATAAAGCCCTGATTTTCTGTGCGTTCACAACGGCTACACCTATGACATGAACGTGATCCTGAGTTTACTACCACCTGGATACGAGAGATATGTCAAATCCTTTAAGTTAGGTGCTACTGCCGCAGGATTCACGCTCACGAACGTTCATACAGTCTTCGTAGATACTTACTTCTTCCTGAATAAAGTACACAGATCTGACTACAAAAAGCTTAGCCTAGACGTTATAGAAGAGACCTATGACTTGCCATCCAAGAAACAATCCCCTTCCTTTTACGTCGATCCGAGCAATTATTCTTACAATTGCACAAGAATGGCCGAATATAACATACACGATGCCAACCTCCATTTTATGATAGCGATAGCTAGCGGGATGCTTAAGGAAATAATAAGTATGGTAACCGCTTTCAGGTGCCCTATTACTGACGTAACTCGGTACATTACAGGGGGTATGGTATTTAACTTGCTTGTATATTTCTCCTTACTTAGCGAGTACATTCTGGATTACAGAATAGACAGGACGATGCTTCCTATAACTGGGGGTTTCGTGGGAACTCCCTCCAGAGGCCGTCGAGATAACGTTACGGTGGTAGACTTTGCTTCATTGTACCCTAGTCTCATGATATCGCTGAATATTTCTAACGAAACTTTAAGCTGCAAGTTAGACAAGTTAGGTAATGGTTCTAGAGAAGGAGCAATAGACTGGCAAGGAAGCAACGTCTTCACGTTCATAGGAAAGAACATTTGTAAGATATCGCAACGTAAGAAGTCGGTAGTATCAAAACTCTTGCTTGACCTTATATCCCGGAGAAAAGCAGTAGGAAAGACAAGCTCACTAGGCTGGGCTCTCAAAGTAGCTGCTAATAGCCTTTACGGTGCATTCGGAGCTACTACTTCCCACCTCTATAACTACCATGCGGCTTCTTCAATCACTTCTGCTGGTAGGTGGATCATTCATGTCGAAATGGCGATAGCACGAGGTTTAGGACTTAACGCTGTTTACGGTGACACAGACTCTCTCTTCCTCCAGTCTAACGGAAAAATACATCCCCGATGGATACATTCTAGAAATAATCCCAGGGAAGGCAGGTTCGAAGGGCGTCTAGAAAAAGTCAAGACTCGCAAGAACGAGTTTCTAGATATTCAAAGAAAAATACTTGAGTTCCTGCCATTTTCTAATGTGTCGTTCGACTGGGAGAGAGACTTCAAGTCAATTATTCTGATAGATCCCAAAATTTACTACGGTACATATATGAAGGAGGGCATGTTGGTGGAGTACCCTAAAGGTCTTGCCTTACAACGAAAAGATCGGAACGAGATCACCAAAAAAGTACGGAGGCTTCTGCTTCAAACCATATCATTAGCTCCGAGTTCTGAACCCGAAGTTCTCGAGAGTCATGAGAAATTCTTCGTTACGCCTCTTCTGAACAGGATTAGATCCCAGGATTTGAGTATAGAGGAATGTGTACTAGAGACTAAGGAAGACGGTATAGTTCAGTACGTATACAAAGACGAGGACGGGAAATTCGTAACCATTAATGACTTTAATGACATGTCACTTGCTTCCGAATTCAAGCCCTCCGTAGCCTGGATCGAGGAGTACATTCACAACAATACAGTAAACATACTAAAGGCATGTGGTCTAGACAGTCTAACTACCATATGTCAATGAAGTTTTTAAAAACAGGAGGTCATACATAGTACTGCTAAATAGTTCAATTATCAGTTGAAGTATCGCTCACGTCCGATAGTTCTTCGAAGTCCTCTTCTATATCGGAGGTATCTACCTTAGAAACCAACCGTTTACGTTCGACTTTTTTTTATCTTTCTTGCTTTTCTTGTCTTTTTTATCCTTAACTTTCTTGTCTTTCTTTACCTTCTTTTCTTTTTCTCTCATTTCTTTCCTTTTTTGTCTTTCTTTCTCTTCCTTCTTTCTCTTTCTTGCTTCCTTCTTTTCATCTCTCTCTTCTTTATCCTTCCTACTACTCTCTCTAGATCCTTTCTTTTTTCTATCAGAGCTTATAACAGTGTGTGCATGCTCGTCGTTGTCGCGTTGAATAGCAGACCTCTTCCGTTCATTGGCGTCAAAAATCATGAATTTTTCATCATAATCCGCAGATCTGCTAATGTCAAGAAACCTGTAAGCTACCTTCTGTTTAATAGATTCAGAATTGAAGCAGCTTGTATCGAATTTCTTGATCTTTACATCGAACCCCTCTTTGAAGCTAAGGTAATTCCCATCAACTGTTTTGCTTCTTATTTCTGGATCCAACGAGTCTACTAGTACTTTCAGTGCATACGGCAAACATGTAGATACCGGAATTAGAACGTACCTGTATATGTTCCTAAGATGCTGCATCAACTCATCGCACGACAATATGTACCTTATGACTCCGTCAGCTCCTACGCTACTAGGTGGTGCTTTCTTTGACTCCCTTGCAAGCACGAAACGTAAAACTGTGGTAGATTCCAAGCTACCTTTGAGAGATGACGGATTCTTATAATGACTGACTACAGCTTTAGTCAACTCCCATATACAACCATTGGAGTAAACTATGTATTTCTCGTACTTTTTCAACAGATGGTTAGAAACATACTGGCCACATTTGTATAACAACACCTGTAGACTTCGATTTAAGTAGTTCCTACTGAAGGAAAATGCCGCTTTGGTTGTGGCGGGCTCTATCATGGCGATTGGTTTGGGTCCTCCTCGTGGGGAACTGGATCATGAGCCCACTTTTTAAACCCATTCTTAAATACTGAATATACTGTGGGGACGAAAGTCTCTGCTTTTAACTAGATAGCAACTTTCAGCAGTGGATGTCTAGGCTCGCACATCGATGAAGAACGCTGCGAACTGCGATACGTAATGCGAA